CCCACTTTGCAGATCAGGAAACTGAGGCTAAAAGCAGTTAGTAAAGCTACCCGATGCCTCTTGGCTGGAAAGTGGCAAAGCCAGGACTCACACCCAGGTTTGCCTGGCTACAAAGCCAGGCTGTTCTCCACCCACTGAGCAGCAAGCCTAGGTCAGCCTGCCAGCCTCCACTCATCTGCTGTAACCTGCCACCCCCACCCAAGCCCAAGCAGGCTCAGGCAGAGGCAATAACCATGAGCAGGGCCAGAGGCCCTACCCAGGAGCAGGCTGGGGCAGCCTGGGTCTCCCTGGTCATGGTGGGGGAGGGTGCTACATGAGTCGGAGCCCAGGGCAGTGGGAGGCCCACAGATGGAGCTGAGGGTGCAGGTTTTCTCCAACCCTGCTCCAGCTTCCATCCTGGGAATCCAGAGGCAGGATTCATGTCCTCCTGAAGAGAGCAGCTCATTAACCCCCACCTTTCTCCACCTTTGCTGGAAAAGCACCAGGGACAATTTCCCTCCCCCAGGTTGGGAGAAGAGGTGTCCATCCTCACCAATGAGAGAACCCCAGGGCACACCTCTCCAGGGATAACCCCTGGAGAAGATCAAGTTCTCGGAAACCCAAGAGTCCTAGGCACCCCCAGTGGAGAATGGAACGAGCGTTGGCATGAGCCAGCAGCCCAGTGCACCAGCCATGAGCATAAGGTGCAGAGTCCTCAAACTCTACTGTACACCCAGATCCCCTGGGGGGCTCGCTAAAATGCGGGTTCTGATTCGGTAGGTCTGGGTGGGGCCTGAGATTCTGCCCATCTGACCAGCTCCCAGGTGTGGAGCTGCTGGGCGATGGATCACGGTGGTAAGGCCCGATGCACGTCAGAATCACCTGGGGAACTAGAACCCAGCTGAGGCCTGGTGCATCCCCAGACCTTCTGCATATCATTGGCATAGGTGCAGCCTGGGCACCTGGACTTTTAAAATCTCATTGGGTGGTTCTAGTGTATAACCTAGCTTGAGAAGCCCTGCCTCATTGTGGGTACTGACAGAAGCCGCTTCCACACGCCCTGAGTAATGGGGGCAGCAGGAGGTGTCACTCCCTTGAGTGGTCATTTCAACCTGGGGAGGGGGCAAAGACAAAGGAGAGGCCCTCCCAGTGTTTAAGCACCTACGATGTGCCGGGCACAGTGCTGTGCCACCTACTCATTTCATCCTGACTGTAACATCAAGAGGCTGGGTACAGTCGCCCCATCCTACAGGTGTGGAAAATGAGGCTCTGAGTAGTGAAGTCCTTTGGCCAAGCTCTCTCAGACAGTAAGTGGCAGAGCCAGGTCTCCAACCCAGGCCTGTCTGACTCCAAGGCCCTGTTTACTCCACTGCGTCTCCCCACCAGGGGAAGGCCTCACAGGGAGGGTGACTTTGGAACTGGGCCCTGAAGGGGGAGTTGGGGGCTAATCCTGATTCCAACGAGCTTCTCCTTTCCAGGCCTTAGTTTCCTCATCTGTATATAAGAGGGGAGACCAGATGGTCTTGAAGACCCTTCCAGTGTTCTGTTCTGTGAGTCCAGCCTCCCAGGTTTCACCAATGCTCCGCTTCTCTCCCCAAAGATATAAAGTACATCGAGGTAACCTCCACCAGATCACGGTGCCACGATGTCTCCCAGCGCTGCTCCAGCCCATCTGTCACCCCGCCCTTCGGCTCCCCGCGCAGTGGCGGCCTCCTCCTTTCCAGAGATGTCCCCCGAGAGACTCGAAGCAGCAGTGAGAGCCTCATCTTCTCTGGGAGCCAGGGCAGAGGGCACCAGCGCCCCTCTCCCCACTCTGGGGGTCCTTCCCCTCACCCTCCATCCTCCCCCAGCATCTCCATCCCTTGCGTGGGAAGCAAGGCCTTGGGCCCTCATGGCTTGGGCTCCCTGCTGGTGGCTTCTCCAGGCTTGGAGAAGGGGCTGGGGGGCCTGGCCCCACACCAGGGCAGCCGGGTCTCTGTGCTGTCAGCCAGCCCAGCATCTGATGTCAGCTACGTGTTCGGAAGGTAAGTTCTATAGCTTCTGACATTGCCACCACAGCACACACACACACATAAGCGCACACACACAGAGATCCTAAAATCATAAAGGGACACCCTGCTCTGTCTGAGCAAAATCTGAGCACACACCAAAACCAAAGGAGTGGATGTTCTTTTTTTTTTTTTTTTTTTTTTTTTTTTTAATGTTGTCAGCACCACGCTCAGCCAGTGAGCAAACCGGCCATCCCTATATGGGATCCGAACCCGTGGCCTTGATGTTATCAGCACCGTACTCTCCCGAGTGAGCCACGGGCCGGCCCTAGGATGCTCTTTTTTATGCCATCACAGCTATTTGGATCTCAAGCAGTCCTTAAGCATTTAGAATATAATTCAATATACAAAAATCTCGATTCTGGGCCGGCCCTAGGATGCTCTTTTTTATGCCATCACAGCTGTTTGGATCTCAAGCAGTCCTTAAGCATTTAGAATATAATTCAATATACAAAAATCTCGATTCATATCTACCTCTTGAGAAAAAAAGAGCCTTGGTATTAATGAGGCTCACCTATATCCTTTTCAGCCCTGGTACAACCCATCTCAAGAATGGATTTTTTTTAAAAACCCAAAACACAGGGATGTCAATAGAACTTGGAGGCCTGAGATGAACCATTTAAGAATGGAAAACCTCCTTCCTCTTTGTTGATGGCAAAACCTAGCAAAGGAGGGAGGCGTTATCTACCAGCATCCCAGCTCAGGGTGAAGTCTCAGGCCTTCTCTACAGGCCTCACAGAAGAACACACACACACACACATTCCATCTACCAGGAAGACCCAATCACAGGACCTCTGTATTCCACACCAACTCCAGAGTCTCTGGCCATGGCAGTCCATGGCAGAAAGACTGGGAATTCCACAGCCATGCCTGCTGGCATGGGCCTCCGAGCCCAGGGAAGTCTGGCTAGATGCAGAGCTGGCCTCCTCCTCTTCCTCCCTGTCCAGCTGCGGAATTCCTTCTGCATCCGCTGTGGACATGGCACATCCCAAGTTCAGCCCGTTGCAGGGCTCTTGGGAGTGGTGGGGTAAGGGGAGCCTGGGGTGACAGCTCAGTCACACCTGTCTGGCCAAAGAGGCAGAGGGAATCCCAACCAGCCTAAGCCCACATGGCCTATAGGAGGTCAGCCATTGGCTACTTTAGATGACCAAAGACCCTACAGTCTGGGGACATTTCTGTATCCTTCAGCATTCCTTTGGGGATCATGGCCATGCCCTTTGCTCAGGGGAGTGGGGAATGGGGTATGCAGTGCTCTATTTGGCCAAAGCCACAGGCGCAAAGATCAGTAGATTCTAGAACCTGGCACTGGCCCCTGAGTGTCCACCTTATACCCTAACACTCTGTCTGTGATCTCTCTCCCCACAGCAGCCAGTCCCTGCTCCACTCCAGCATCTCCAGCCATCAGTCATCTTCTAGGTCCTTGGAAAGCCCAGCCAGCTCTTCCTCCAGCCTCCACAGCCTTGCTTCAATGTCCCTGGGTACGAGACCCAGTGACTTCCAGGCTCCCAGCAACCCGACCTTGAGCACAGGCCGGCCCAGAGCACTCCACTCCCCACCACTGGCCAAAGAGCATGCTAGCAGCTGCCCCCCATCCATCACCAACTCCATGGTGGACATCCCTATCGTGCTGATCAATGGCCACCCAGACCCAGGGTCCCCTCCAGCCCAGCAGACCCCAGGACATCAGGGCTTTGTCCAACCTGGAGCTGCTCCTCCCAGCAACCTCTGCCCGGCCACCAGGAGCCACAGCCAGACCCTGCCAGACGCTCCCTGCACCACATACCCGGAGGGTACGTCGTAAACCGATATCTCAAGCTTTGTAAGGTTTCCCTGGGGGGATGGACAAAGCCCCAGTAGGTTTCTGCAGCAGCCAGTCAACACATTTATTCAGTACCTAGTGTGTGCCTAGCACTGTGCCAGGTAGTGAGGACACACCAATGGACACAGTCTAGAGAGACAAAAACCAAGAAGCACTAGAGAGTAGGGTAAACACAGAGGTAAAGAGATGTTCTAAGTCTTATAGTGCCACAGAAGAAGGAGCGAGTCTTTCAGTCTATAGAACAGAGCAAGTGACATTGAGCTGGATCTGGAACGTAGATAAGAAGAGGCCAGAGAAGGAGGAGAGGGCATTTCTAGCAGAGAGAACAGGGAGTCCACAGTCACAAAGGTGTGGAAGCACAGGGCGTGTTTAGGACAGTTTGGGTGCAGGGTGAGGTCATTGAGAGTAATTTGGAGTCAGATTGGGAAAGGCCTTGAACCTTTCAGAGAGTCTTAAACAGGGTAACGCTAAATGGATCGCTCTGGCAGCTGCGTGCAGACGGGTTGCAGGGGCCTGAGCCAGGGCTGGGCAGTGGGGGTGGAGGAGAGAGGACCGAGCCAGGCAGTGCTTAGGACATTTCAGCAGCAGGCTTGATGACTAACCCGAGGAGAGCGAGGGAGAGCGTCAGTCCCAATTCTGACGTGCATGGATGATGAGAACACAGAGGGGGCAGACGGGGCAATGGAGACAATGCACTCGGATTCAGACAGCTGAAAACCACAAAACAGCTAACACCCTCCTTTCGTAGTCTGTGGCTACAGGCATCCAGAAACAAAAGCAATCAGAACCCACAGCAGTAGACACAGAGGCTAGGCCTTAGTACCCCCTGGGTGCACATCTCCCATGAACAGAGCGCCATGGGCACTGGCCCCTCTCTCCATCCCCGGGCTTCTCGCAGGCATCAGGGTGACTCCCAAGGGGTGTAAGATGTTCACCCTAGCCCGCAGCTCACTCCCACATGCATGTCAATGCAAGCAGAAGAAAATGACACCTCAGGTGTGGCTTTGAATCTGCTCTGATCACCTTCCTAGCACAAATCATTTGCAGATTTTAATAACTTTTTTATAATGAGTTACTCTCAATGGGTCAAAACACACCTCTTCAAATTGAGACCCACTGTTCTCGGCCTTAGGGACCCAGGAAAATGGGCAGTTTGGATCTCAAAGAGCACGTTTACTCAGACTGGTGCTATTCCATCCCGCTTTGTCAATGCCCCAGGATATCTCTAATTATACCCCTGGATCTTATCAAATTCTGCAAAATGTAATCAAAATGAAATTCTTTTGAATTTCATAGGCTAATGGAGAGTAAAAGACCCTCAGAGGTTGTTTAGTTCACTCAGTACCCTCTGGGCTTCAGGAACTGAAACAGTTGTTCCAAATCAGAGTCAAGAATCAAAGCTCCTGACTTCCAGGTGCAGGCACTTCTGTCCAGACCTGCTATTTTCCTCTCCTTCACCTTTTCTTTCATTTTCTTTTCCAAGCCGAATATACCCCTAAGGAACTCCTAGGATTATTAAGGGGAAGGAGAGTGTGAAATCAAACATGATGCATCTGAAAATCCCTTAATTTATCTCTTATTTTGGTTCCCACCGAAATTTAGAGAAACGGTTTCTCTAAATTAGATTTGAGAAACCGTTTCTCGTTAAACTGAGGTTTTATCTATTTGTTTTTGGCTCATTACCAAGGATACAAGGGGACTTCTAAGTCCTAGATGCACCAAGCGCTGGGATTCTTCTGTTTGATTTTGCCTCTTGTAGGCAGTTTGGAGATACAGTGGGGTTGGGTCTGGGGTGGTGAGTCGAATGAGACCTCTGGGCAGAGGAGCGGGGAGGGTCCCCAGCTTTTCCTGGTAGTCATCTCTCAGCTCCCCTCTGTCCAGCCTACAGGGTCCCCCTTCTCTGTTGCCTCCAGGTCCCACGGTGAGTCGAATGAGACCTCTGGGCAGAGGAGCGGGGAGGGTCCCCAGCTTTTCCTGGTAGTCGTCTCTCAGCTCCCCTCTGTCCAGCCTACAGGGTCCCCCTTCTCTGTTGCCTCCAGGTCCCACCAAGGACATGCAGCCCACCATGAAGTTTGTGATGGATACATCTAAACATTGGTTTAAGCCGAGCATCACCCGAGAGCAAGGTAAAAGGAAGCACTGAGTTTCAGGGGACAAGTGGCCCAGGAATCAGGTCTGGGTCCTGCACTCTGCATCAGACAGATGAGACCCTGGTAAAGAAGGGAATGGCAAATAGCAGGCCCAGGGAAGGGGGGTGTCATGCTGACCTCGTGACCTCATGCAGAAATAGGAACTACAGCAAGAATGGTAGAGATTAGACAATAGAAAGGACTTCCTAGGAAAAAGAGGTGATTCGGTAACACCTGCTCTATGAAGACCCTCTGGGGCTAGGGACAGAGGGTGTCCAGTTTGGGTGCTATCTGTCTCTGACCCGAGGATTGTTTCAGCAATCGAGCTGCTGAGGAAGGAGGAGCCAGGAGCTTTCATCATAAGGGACAGTTCTTCGTACCGAGGCTCCTTCGGCCTTGCCTTGAAGGTGCAGGAGGCCCCCGCATCTGCCCAGAACCAAGCAGGTATGCACCTGTCTCTGCTCTCTAGGTGCCTCTCTGAGACAATGGGGCGTTCTAGTCCTGGCTGTGATGATAGTTTTCAGGGTGACTTTGGGCCACCCCCTTAACGGTAACAACTCTTGGGAGGAGGGTCCACTTCAGCACTCTCCCAGAGCCCTCCAGCACCAAGACACCAGGGAAAGCTCCTTTCACAGTACTCCTGAGTTGCCTCTGCCTTCCCAGGTACCCACATTCCCTGCTCTACCCTCGTGATGAGAAGAGAAGGAGGAAGGTCCCAGCCCCTCCCCAGGCTGCTCTCATCTGGGTACCCACCTCTGTCCAGACCAATTCATCTCCAGTGTGATGGCTTATCACATGTGTAATAGCTCATCACGCATGTGTGAGGTAGCTCAGCACGTGCTTTCCCATGATCTCACATGCTCATTTGGTAACCTGACATACACTTCTGGGGCATCCACCAGGCACCCAGCACCATATTAGGCACCAGGGATACAAAGGAGTCAGACACAGTCACCACCTCACTGGGGAGAGAGATGAAAACAGATCATCCCAGCAGGGGGTGCCTGGGTAACAGTCCCTCACTTACACCCCAGAATTGTACCTCTCACTTAACAGATGAGACTCTCAGAGTTAATGACCTCAGGACAATTAAGTGATAGAGCAAGGATGAAAACCCAACCTTGTGTGCTTTACACTACGCCTCACTGTCAAAATAAGAAAGTGACCTCTGGGGTGGGTGCTGGTTATCAGAAAGCCTTGGGAGAGGCAATGAGCCCAAATGAGGAAGGAGGCTATGGGCATGGGGGGAGAATCAGAAGGGCATTGTTCACCCCCCCGGGCCATCCTGGCAGAAGCAGGGATGATCTGGCAAATAACAGCACCTGGGATGGGTGGGCAGAGGGAGAGAGAAACCAGACTGAAGAGCTGATATTTGATCTAAACAGTAATTAAGAAACACCCCTGATAACTCTTGACCAAGAGAAAGGTTTTCTAAAGGGGGAATTACTGGACACAGAAGCCTTTGAGCAAATGTGCTGGCACCTCCTTTGTGGGAGGCCTTGGAAACAGCACCCGTACCTGCAAAGGCAGGGGGATGGACAAGATAACCTTTGGATGGAGCAGAGGAGGTGGGTCAGGGAGTGCACTGGTCAGCGTTTGGCTGACTCTGGGCTCTGGAACTCCCAACCGCATGTACTCTCTCTCCTTGCTCTGTCCAGGCGAGGACAGCAGTGACCTAATCCGACACTTCCTCATCGAGTCTTCCGCCAAAGGCGTGCATCTCAAAGGAGCAGACGAGGAGCCCTACTTTGGTGAGCCTCCCCAGCCTCCAGGGCCCCGGGTGGGGAAGGGGCTCCACCCTTCTGAGCTGTGAGGGTGGGCTGCGGGAGCCCTGCTAATGCAGGATGGCCTGTCTGCCTCCAGGGAGTCTCTCTGCCTTCGTGTGCCAGCATTCCATCATGGCCCTGGCCCTGCCCTGCAAGCTCGCCATCCCGCAGAAAGGTGGGTTTGGGCCCCAAGGAGGCAATGTCAGGGCGCCGGACCTTTTTGTTCTCAGTAGAAAGTCTCCCAGTGGTCAATTCTTCCTTGTTTATGGATTATTTCATTGTCACGGTTAAAAGTGCATGCTCTGGGGGCCTGCCCGTGGCTCACTCGGGAGAGTGCGGTGCTGATAACACCAAGGCCACGGGTTCGGATCCCATATAGGGATGACCGGTTGGCTCACTGGGTGAGCGTGGTGCTGACAACACCAAGCCAAGGGTTAAGATCCCCTTACCGGTCATCTTTTAGAAAAAAAATAAATAAATAAAATAAATTTAAAAAAAAAAAAAAAGTGCATGCTCTGGAGTTAGCCAACATCTCCACCTCCTAGCTGTGAGCATTCAAGAGTGTTGACCTCTCTGAGCCTCAGTTTTCTCATCTATAAAATGGGCGCAATCATCATCATACCTACATGTAGGATTGGTGTGCAGATTAAGTAGATAGCTCAAGCAAGGTGCAATGATTGGCACAGAATAGATGTTTGACAAATAGCAGCTTTCTTTAAGAGGATAAAACGAATCAGTTTAGAGAGGTTTCTTTTTCCAGGTCAGACACGTACTGAGCACTCACCCACCCATTCACGCCTCACTACAACCTTGTCAAGCACATATTGCTGTTATCATCCCCATTTCACAGATGAGAAAATGAGAGTTCTAAGCATTAAGGAACTCACCCAAAGGTGCACAGAGGCCGACGTCAAACCCAGATCAGCAAGCCCTGTCCAGGGTGTACAGCCCAGCTGCACCCCAGACAGAGTAGGTCATCTCAGGAGTGTCCAGAAGGGGTGTCTCTGGGAGAGGAGTTGGGGGGGGCCTGGTAGGGTGATGGTAAGAGCCCCCCTACTTTCTGCAAAGAAAGGTCTGGGCTTGGGATGGGATCCCAAAGAAGTGAGAAGGTCATGGGCCTGTGAGGACAGAGTCATGGCCACAGTCTGGGGGCTGGGGGGTGTGGATCAAAGACTTGCAGGTTGGGCATTTGGGGAGCCCAAAGTGGCTTCCATTTGCTTAATTACAGTAATCACACCTGGTTTCTCAGACAAGTCACTTCCTGGAGGTGGGGGTGGAGGTGGGAGATGTTCAAAGGGATTAATGAGCTGTTCCTATGAGAGGTCCGTTCATTCCACCCCTTGGGGCCTGTTCCTTTGCCTCGGCTCAGAACTGGGAGGTGCCAACGGGGCCTCAGACTCCTCTACGGACAGCCCAGCCTCCTGCCTGAAGAAATCGGCAGGTGAGTGGTTTGGGGGGAGGCGCCACGGTTGGCTGTAGCCCCAGCGGCACTTTCCAGCCCTGCACATATGCGTGTTCCTATGAGAGGTCCGTTCATTCCACCCCTTGGGGGCCTGTTCTTTTGCCTCGGCTCAGGACTGGGAGGTGCCGACGGGGCCTCAGACTCCTCTACGGACAGCCCAGCCTCCTGCCTGAAGAAATCGGCAGGTGAGTGGTGTGGGGGGAGGCGCCACGGTTGGCTGTAGCCCCAGCGGCACTTTCCAGCCCTGCACATATGCGCACACACACACAAGCCCACACATGTTTCCCATCACAGCTTTGTTTCTGCCTCCATAACAAGGTGCCACGTCTCTCCCCCTGTCCCCTCAACAAGGGGATGAGAGGCTGCAGGCACTGGGCCAGCAGGGAGGTGGAGCTTGGGGTGGGGCTTGGCAAGGCTTACACCCCACCCTGCACACACATGGGGACATGCATACATACTAGAGTCTCTCTGGGTCTGGGTACCTGCCCTGGAGGGGGTCTCGAGGTCTGAAGTCCTCTGTGGGGTATCAGGTCTGAGTCCGGGGGGTTTCAACACAGGAAAGGTCCCTCCCCCCACTTCCAGGGGCCAGGCACAGATCAGCACATCTCAGTGACAGCTTCTCCTCTGTGCCCCTGAGCACACCCCTCCCCTCCCCAGCCTTGTCTTCTCTCCCTACTCTCCTTGGAGGGCCAGGGGCCAGGGCAATGCAAAGGAACAAATCCCAAAGTCCTCTGGGGTTGGCCTCAGATTGCAGTCACCTATGCACTCCCAGCCTGTTTTGTGGCTCAACGAGGAGCCTCACGGGATTCCTGAAAAAGAAAGGCACCCTACTCCCCTCGCTCTGGGCAGAGGGAAGACCTGGGCCCAGGGATCCCTGCCCATCACGTGGATCCTGGCTGTGGCCCCAGCATGGTGTCTCCATCCCACAGGCTGCCATGCCCTGTACCTGAGCTCTGTGAGCGTGGAGACCCTGACCGGAGCCCTGGCTGTGCAGAAGGCCATCTCTACCACCTTCGAGAGGGATGTCCTTCCCACTCCCACCATGGTCCACTTCAAAGTCACCGAGCAGGGCATCACCCTGACCGACGTCCAGAGGAAGTAAGGGCCTTCCCTTGCCCTGGGGCTGTGGAGCCAGGCGGAGCAGAGCTGGAGGGGGTGGCTGAGACAGTCTTGGATCAGTGATGAAGGCAGAGTTCAGGGTCCTGGACCCAGTGAGTGTCTCCAGGCAAGTTCCCTGCCTTCCCTGGGCCTCACTACTGCTAAAGTCCCCCTTCATCATGACTGAGGGAGATAGAATTAACTAGAATTCATTAGGTGCTGATTAAGTCTGCACCCACTGATGGAAAATCTTCCTTAGGCCAGACTCCGGCTGACCGCTGCAACAGAGTGGAATGAGGCCACTCCTTCCCCAGGCTCAGGGATCCACACTCCAGCAGGGCTCTGATCCTGGGCAGGGCACTTTGTGGGGGGGAGCAAGAGAGGACCAAGGTGTAATTCCTATTAAAAAGTTAAGTGGCACGGCGAGGGGGTCGGTAGAAACCAGCACATGCAGAGCACAAGGCAGACGCACTCGGTGAGAGGAGAGAAACATGGGCAGGTGCTCAGGGCCCCACAGTGGGACAGGTCACGCGGTGGTAAGGGGGTCCGCCTCGGAGGCTTCCTGGAGGAGGACAGGGAATCAGAGCTTGGGGACCCGGAGATGATGGATGGAGGGCATGGGCTGGGGTGGCTCTCACCAGCTTCCCCTCTCTCCCCACCTCCTCCCAGGGTGTTTTTCCGGCGCCATTACCCCCTCATCACCCTCCGCTTCTGTGGCATGGACCCTGAGCAACGGAAGTAAGTTCAAGGCTGGACCAAACTAAGAAGCCCATCCAGGATCTAGCAGCCCACCAAGGTGTCCTGCTGACTCTGGGACTGGGATTGCAGGGAGCGCCTGTGATCCCCAAGGGGTCAGAGTGACAGACAAGAGGAGGGTGGGGCAGAGCACAGGTGGGGACACTGCCAGCCACTCTCCCCTGCTGACTGGCCAGAGTCCTGTGGAATGGAGCACAGCCTCGTCACTCACTCTGTCCGTGTTCTTTTCCCACAGGTGGCAGAAGTACTGCAAGCCCTCCCGGTAAGGGCTTCCATCCGCTCAGTCGCCTAAGTGGTGTCCCTGTGGCAGGGGCCCAGACCCAACCAGGGGAGGGAGTTAAAGAGGCAGGGAGGCCCCATCCTGACCTTCAGAGCCCATGGTGTACATGGGGACACAGGCCCCGGTCCTCAGGGAGCTCCCAGTCTGACAGGAGAGACTTTGTCCCTGCCATCAAAGAGCCTCCAGTCTGATGGGGCAGACTGAGCCTGAGAGTCCGCAGTCTTATGTAAGAGGCACAGGCCGTAACCTCAGGAAGCCTCAATCTATAGGGACGCCCCAGTCTGAGAGTCCAGATACATCCTAGCCCTCAGGGAGCTTCCGCGATAACGGGAATACACAGGCCCTGTCCTCAAGGAGCCCCCATTCAAGATGAAGGAAACCCAGAGCTTGAACTGGGGATATCCCAGTCTCACAAGAGAGTCACCTCCATCCTTCAGAGAGCCCCCATTATAATGAGATGCTGGAGCCAGTTGGCCGGGGGAGGGACAGAGAGAAGGTGGAGTAAACTGAGTGCCTCACCCCCCTGCCACCCCACTCCCATCAGCCTGAAATCTCCCCTGGCCCCACCTCTCACTCAGACTGCCCTTTCCCACCAGGATCTTCGGGTTTGTGGCCAAGAGCCAGACGGAGCCCCAAGAGAATGTGTGCCACCTCTTTGCGGAGTATGACACGGCCCAGCCAACCTCTCAGGTCATCAGCCTGGTGACTGCTCTGCTGCAGGACGCAGAAAGGATATAGGAGGAGGGCACCTGCCTGTGCATCTTCCCAGATGTCTCAAGGGGCTTGCCCAAGAGCCCACCTCCACCCCCTGAACAAGGATCTTGTGGCCACGCTGACAGACCAACCTATTGAACTAGAGGAGAATAGGATCAAGTTGAAACTCTGGAACCTGCTGTGAAGTTTAGCAACAACCTTCATCTAGATCCCCCTGGGACTCAGTTTCCTCAACCGTAAGAAGAAGACCATAGACAGGTTCTGTTCTTTTCAGACTTTGGTGGGTATTTTGAAGATGCTCTGTGATTCTGAAGCGTACTCACATGTGAGGACCCCTGCATGAAAATACCCCCGTGGCCCCTCTGACTCCATCAGCCTGGATGCTACCAACACAGCAGCCTGAGCCTCTTTCATGGCAAACAGCAGGCGCGGGGGTCAGGACCCACAGGGTTCTTGCCCTGAGGTTGGTGATAGAATGCCAGGATTGAGGACAAAGGGGGGATGAACAGACTCTATTTCCCTCTCTATCTGTCCCTTTCTCCACTTTCCTGATGGCATTTTGGATCCACCTGCCCAAGATTCTGCAGGTCAACAGGGCTGAGGTTGTTGGGGCAGCTTAGCAGCGGGGAACGTATCCCCGTGGTCAGAGAAGACCCAGCTGTTCTCACATTCTTGGTGTCTAGTCCCCACCCCCCAGCAAATGAGTATCAGCCCATCTTTTCTCTCAGATTCTTGGTAAGCAAGTGTGTCCCACAGCTGGTGTCACCGCTGCCTTAGCATTGCATGTATAAGCCACACCTGGAGAATGGAAGCAGAGAGACCTGGTTCTCTAAAGTAGACATAAGGGCCATTTCTCTGTGCTTCTCCCTCAGCTCCACTCTTGCTCAGTCTCTGTGCCCCCACACACGTGCGCGCATGCACGCGCGCACACACAGACCCCTCTACAGCTGTGTGCTGCCAACTGGCCTCACAGCCACATGGGGGCAGCAGAGAGTCGAGAATGCCAAGAGGAAGCATCCCAAGGGGCCTGGAGGAGTCCAGCGTCCTTCCCGCCCCACCTCCACCCCCACCCAACCCCCAGAAGCTGGAATCGTTCATCTAGCAGGCCTGGGTTCCTAAGGAAACCACACCATGCGGGTGGAAGAAGGAGACTCAAGGAAGAAGCCCACTCTGCCCCCTCCCAGCAGCTAACCCTGCCAGAGCATCATTATCTTTGGCCACAGTTGGGCCAGACAGCCTATGATTTCAACCCAGGAAACCAAACGACTGGAGCAGCCCTGGGCTGGTGGGAGAGGCTGAGACCAGCCCACCCAGCTCCAGCCTGTGGTCAGGCACTGCCCCACCCCCACAGTCTGCAGAACGTTAGACAAGGCTCTCAAGGTCACTGTGCCCCGTCCCAGCCTAGGGGCTGACAGAGTCCCTCATATACTCACAGGTGCCTGTGCAACACCCATCATGAAAAATAAAGTGTCTGTCTTTGCACAACAGTTGGTTCTGAAGCATTAGGGTCATCCCCTCATAGAGGAAGACCTGTACAGAGCAGGGGAACTGACTTGTCAGGCAGTGGCATGTCTTAGAGAAAACCAGGTATGCCACACTCCCTCTCACATCTCTGACCACAGCAGCATAGGCTCAATTGGCTTCCACTTCAGAAACCACCACTTAAACAGCTATGTCTCCCACATGCCCAACACATGACCCGTTCCCTGCCACTCTGCCAGGAAAACAAAAGGACTGGGGTCTTCCTTGTATCCCAGGGCCTAAGATGAGTGCATGCAGCACCCTGACAGGTCCCAAGTTCTCACTCAGGCTCCCTGAGGGGTGAGGAGAGGCCGGTGAAAATGAGCAGCTCAAGGGGAGCTGGCAGAGTCTCCCAGGAGCTGGCAGGTTCACCCAGATGATCCCTGAGCCACCAACTCAGTCCTAAGGAATTGGACAATGGCTCCTTCATCCCTCTCCAGGCCTGGGGAGTTCCACCCAAGCTTCTGCTAGCGAGCAGTCCTCCCTTCCCCCCAGACCTGCTCCAGACCCTGCTGCAGCTTGGGATCTAAGGTCGGCATGCCACAAGAAGGTCTCACCGAGCAGTGCAGGAGGGGGCCGCAGGAGTATCAGCTTTCCTACAGAGCCTTAGGAATGGCACAGCCCCTCCTGTTTGGGCTGAGCTATGTGACCCAGTGACAGGGGCTGCCCCAGAGAGCCTATAAAAAGACCTTCCCAATGGCCTTGAACCACTATGGGGTAGACCCTGCCTCCCTTCCCAATGCCCAACTGCAGTTCTAGACTGGGGCTCCTCTCAGCCCCCAGCCCTAGACCCCCTCGGCCAGCTGCAGACAGAGTCCACGCATGTGATCATCTCTGCTGTGTTTGCCATAGCTCAGCTTTCCTCCGGGAAGATTTAGCAGAGAACTTGACTTGGACTTTTGCTGACAGGCAGAGCAGCCAGCCCAGCAAGCCAGCCCAGAGGGCTGGAGGGCAGAGGGGAGGAAGGACAGCCATTGAGCCAGGAGCAGGGAAGGGAGGGGTCTTCACACCCACACAGGGACACCCCAGGGGTTTTCTTTTTTTTTTTTTTTTTAATTGGAAAGAGAAAAGTTTATTAACTCACCTAAAAACAAAACTAGCGGGCCGAGCCAGTGGCGCACTTGAGAGAGTGTGGTGCTGGGAGCGCTGGAGCGCAGCAGCGCTCCCACCGTGGGTTCGGATCCTATATAGGGATGGCCGGTGTGCTCACTGGCTGAGCGCGGTGCTACCAGTCTCAAAAAGGACAAAAAAATAAAATAAAATAAAATAAATAAAAAATTAAAAAAATAAAACTAGCTATTAAACTCATGTACTATTGCTTAAAGAATACTTACAGAACTGTCTCACCTCAATGTTTCTTTGCAAAAGAAGTAGAAATCAATAGTCCATAGATACACTTGAAGAAATAATGCTCCAATAAACAATATATTTATTACTTTTGCTACATTTCCTTCATGTTGTAAATTTTGTAGAGCGTCATGCATGAATTAATTGTCATGAGGCATTTCATATTGCAGATTTATAGGATTGCACCATAGTGTGAGTTTTCACATGACTTTCAAAGTATTTGTTAAAATTTTTAAATTTCCCGTATTTTGGAAACGAATGAAGTTTCAATCCAGTGTGCATTCATACATGTTTTTGTCAGTCTATAAGTCAACTGAAGGCTTTTCCACAACCTTACACTTAGCATTTTTATCCAGTATGTATTTTTTCATGCTTTTGAAAAGAACTGGAACAAGTGAAAGCTTTACCACGTTGTTTTAAGTCAGAGGGTTTTTCTTCAGTGTGAGTTCTATTATGTTTTCAAAAGGAACTGGACTGACTGAAGCCTTTCCCACATTCCTTACCTTCACAGGGCTTTTCCCTAGTGTGAGTCCTTTTGTGGCTTTGAAATGAAGTGGGGCAGCCAAAGACTTTCCCACATACCTCGCATTTATAAAGTCCATCCCCAGTGTGTTATTGGGGCTCCTTTGGATACTTCTGAGAGAAATGAAGGCTTTCCCACATTTTTTACATCATAAGATTTCTCTCCAGTATGAGGTCTTTCATGAATTTGATAGGAGTGGAGGTAAGTGGAGTCTTTCCTACATTGTTCATGTTTACATGGCTTTTCTCCATATTTCTGATTCTCATATGCTTTAGGTCCAGCATGAGACAGGCTGTTGCCTAGTAAAGGGTGAACGATGCATGCAGACTTTTTCACACAAACTACATTCACATGGTTTAACTCTAGGAGTACTTTTTTTGTTCAGATTAAGATTTGGTATCTGAATGAAGGTTTCTCCACAATGATGGCTTTCTCTACGTTCACTAACTCAGTCTACAATATGATTGCTTAGATTTCTGCTGTGATTTTTGTACCGATCTTCAAAGTTCTGGACTTCCCATTTTTTTCCTACAGAAGCCAAGTTTGTAAAGATTTCCCCCATGACATCTCTTAGAGTTTTTTCTGGGGATGATGCAGCATAGCTGGTGAAGTTGACAGCCACATCCTCAAAAGCCACTGTGTCCATTTCCCAGCTTCCAGGTGGCATCCTCCCTATGGTTCCTGTGGTCACTGCAGAGCACAGTGTGACAGAGGCTGTGGCAGGACCACCTGAGGTCATTAGAGGCAGGTGAGACATGCTGACATGCTGTGCAATAAGGAGCAACATCCATGCATCTTTGTGGAGTGACTTCCCCCACCCCAGGAGTTTTCTCTCCAGGAACTTCCAGGCCTTGTGGCCCTTGGGGCCTCCACCCTGCCTCAGTGTCTCCCTTCCCCAGATTTTCCATGCCTCCCATCCTTTCTCCATCTCTAACACACTTACCCCACCCTCTCACCCTCCCTCACTTTCCCTCTCCCACTTCCTCCCTCTCCTTCCTTGCCCTTTCCCCTCAACATGTCTCCTCCACCCACCCAAGCCCATGCTCTCTCTTTACAGAAAAACCTTCCCTCCCTCTTGCTCTTTTCCAATTTAATTCCCTTGCCCCTTTGTCCCAGGTGGCTGGACCCACAGCAAAGTCCGGCTGCTGCTGGAGTTGATGAGGAGGGAGGAAGGCAGTCCCCTGCACTGCCAGGAACTTCCCAAAACTCAGATTCCCACTTCCATAAACACTGCCACCCCTCTGACTGCAAAGCCACCAACCTCTCCACTCCCCCAACTGACCCGCCACCTCCCCACACGCATGTCCTCTTGGGGCGAGGCTGCTCACCTCTGCTATTTCATCTTCAGCCTCTGGTCCTTAACTCTTCTGCCCTCCAATAGCCTGAAGGCCGAGACCAGGGCAGGGGTTGGGAGTTCAGGGCTTCTAACCCAGTGGCTGCTGCTTTGATTCATGCAACAAATGTTTCTGGTCACATGCTTTGTTTGTGTGAACCAGGAAAACAGATAAATAGGACAGTGTTATAACAGAGGTATGTAAATGCCATGCAGGGCTGGCAGGAAGTGTAGAAATGGGAAAGATAAACTTACCCACTTAGAAGATTGAGGGCAATGCTACCAAGGAGATAACATTCGAGTTGGATCTTCAAGGATGAATAGGAGTCTGGCATGCAAAGAGGAGGAGGAACCAACTTTTATTGGGGAGGGAGGACTCCTATGTGTTAAGAGCAACGTGAGGCACATTATATATATCTAATCTCATTTTATCATTTTACAGATTAGGAAACTGAGGCTCACAGGATTACTTGCACACACTCATCTACCCTGTAAATGACAGAGTAACAGGATTTCAAGTCCATGCCCACTCTATTGCCCCAGCATTTACAGACAAGTAGACAGACAAATTTGTGTGTGAAGCACACAGGTATAAAAAGGTGTATCATGGGCCGGCCCGGTGGCGCACTGCTACAGTGCACCGCTTGGGAGCACGGCGGCGCTCCCGCCGAGGGTTCGGATCCCACATACAGACCGGTTCCCACTCACTGGCTGAGCAAGGTGCGGGAGCAGCACTGAGGGTTGCGATCCGTTGCCGGACACGAAAAAAGACAAAAAAAAAAGGTGTGTCATGTTCAGTGTGGGTAAAGTATATGGTCCCCAAAGGAGTAGGTGAGAGATAAAGCAGAGGAAAGAGTCAGGAGCAGGATCATCAAGCACCTTGGGTGCCAGCAGAGAATGTCTAGGCAGTAAATGTTTGGTGAATGAATGAATGAGGTTGTACTCAGGACCACTGTATACAGTTGTACAGGTTGTGCAATGCACAATTTTACCTAACAACCTGCTTGGACTTCATCCTGTAGGTAATGGGGAGACATCAGAGGCTTTTCATCTGAGAAGTAACTGACCAGATTTGTGCATTAGAAGTATGGCTGTCAGGGTAGGAGACCAGATCTGAGGCCTGGGTTGGGGAGAAGGGTACTGGGATGAGGAAGCTGTGAGAATACGGAGTTCAGACCAGGAGAAAGAAAAAAACCTAAGAAGATGCGCTCC